CTTCTTCTTCTTCTTCTTCTTCTTCTTCTTCTTCTTCTTCTTCTTCTCTCTTCTTCATTGGAGAAAAGTAGAAAAATGTATTTACTATAAAGACTATCTCTATCTCTTTATTATTTATAGTAGGGTCCATTATTGAGAAGCTTACATTGTACTCATTGAAATTTGAACACCAGATTCTGGAGACCATTAATTTCTATAATACTCTGAGGGAAAAAACTTTATGCAAATACTTAATGTTTAAATTATTTCAACAGAAATTTAAAGAACTTTCAAGAGATCATATGCTAGTGTGAAGGCCAGAAGTACACATGTTACTGTCCAAATAGATATATCTGAATATAGGATTAATTAATTTACTATACAGTATAATCTTATTCAAATTACCTAACTGTCCAGAACTGCTAATTAAATTACCTTATTTATCTTATTGTTATACACTGTCTAGGTATGCTGTCTAGGAGATCAATTATTCTTGAAAAGAGAAACAAAAACTAAACTGAACAGAGGAAGTAAAACAATTGGTAAAACTATGAGTATGTGCATTAATGACAGCTATATTCATCCTAGACTTTACCACAATAGAAACAAGTGGTCCAAAGTCTGCTGAGTTGTCCTGCATCTAATCAAAAGGAAGACTTCATTTAAATCATTAGCCTTAGTAGCTTGGATGCAATAATAACCAAAGACTTCCTTCTTGTTTCTCTCAGTTCATCATCTTAGCCACAGTCCAGACTTTGATATTTTAAAAGGAGGGCAATGGTTTAGAGATGTCCACCTCCCCATTTCAAACCTCGGATGTTTAGAAACACACTCTTTTATGCAGTTTTGAATGAGCAGGTTTTCTTTTCAGACGAATGACTTTGAACAATCTTCTTTCCTGTCTCTCTCTGACAGTACAAAGTATACAGAGACTTCATTGTCCATGTGTTCCCAGGGCTCCAGGCCACAGGGGCTGACTTCAGGCACATTTATGATGTTTATTCAAGGAGAGTCAAAATTCACCATTAGAAGAAGAAGTCAAAGTGATATGCAGCTAAGTGCATTAAAGGAATGAGAGTCATTGGCAAGGCTGGCAGGGGGCTACTTCACAGATGTTTCCATCAACAGATGTCCTAGGGCTAATGTCTTCAACAGCTTTTGAGAAAGCTTTTGAGAAATTTTGGTGACCGATTATAGATATGAAAATAGCTGCCCAGCCTTCACCCTCCAAAAGAAGGTAAGCCCAACCTGTTTATATAGGTT